ATTTTATAATATTTTGGAGATACTTCACCGAGCCTAAACGTACACTATTTATAAGTATTTTAATATATTTAATGTCATTTTATAAATATTTGACAAACCTTAAACCATTACGGTCTCAATTTATTTCATTTATTTCTGTTTTCTCTGTCACTATATATAATGTTTTTGGCGGTGTCATTCAAAACGCCACCCACTTTTTGTATTTTAGTCGTGATACATCAATCAGTCACAATATTGTTAATCAACAACAACTATTTTATCATTTCTCTGCACCAAAGATTCAGCAATATTCACATTCATTCCACCGGACTTTTCCTCCTCAATGTCATGGTTTATATTGTTGAAGCTCATTGGCACTGCCAACATCAATAGAAGTCATGGCGTTGAGAAGGAAAGGAGTGGTGGGGTGAATGAGAAAAATGCAGAACGTTTGGAGCAGGGAAAAGAGAGAAAACGTAAGTTGTTCATCAACGATGCAGAGACTGATAGGTGCATCACTACTAAGATTGAATGTGGATAATATTTTGAATAACGCCGCCAACAACAATTTAAATAGTGGCATAAAGAAAGCTAAAATAGAGCACACAAATTAAGACAGTAATTGTTTAAGCCTTGTCGAATTTTTCAAAAATAATAATAAATGTATTATATATCGTAAAAAAAGTGTATGTCTAGGATCAGTGATGCATCTCAAAAATATAATAGAATATAATATACATATTATAACGAGCTTGCGGTAAGTCAAAAGTGCCAAAACAATGAGGGTCTTTAATCTGGTTAGCATATAGCATATTAGATTAACTACTAATATTATATTTAAATGACTAAGAAAACTTGATTAACGAGATCTTTAAAAAAAGTTAGGAATAACTGAAGTGGAGATATTTAAAAAAAACAATAGATAAATACAATAAAATTATAAATCAATCACTAGATAAATTATCACAGCATTTTAATTTAAATACATGTTCAAGATATAGTTTACGACCTTAAAATATAATGCAAAGGCATAAATGTTGTCACTTTTAGTTGTAGAACTAGTTCTGTCAACACTCTCGCCCAACAAAGTTTTAACTATAGAGAAAAATTATCACATATTCTATATTCCAAGACACAAACAACTCTCTATTAATCTGATAGTTTGACTTGGTCCGAACTCTTTATAGCATATATATTATATTCTATAATATTTTTTAGATACTTCAGCGAGCATAGATGTACAATATTTATAAGTATTTTAATACATTCAACATTGTTTGCTTCGTTTTTAGTTTCTGTCACTATATATATTATTTTTTGCGGAGTCATTCAAAACGTCATCCACTTTCAATATTTTAGAAGTAGTCCCTATTATATCGTTGATCAACAACTTCTATTTTCTCAATTCTCTGCATCAAAGGTTCAGCATTATTCTCATTCATTCCACCGGGTCATTCCTCCTCAATGTCATGGTTTGTATTGTTGAGGCTGACACTGGCGCTACCAACATCAATAGAAGTCATGGCGTTGAGAAGGAAAGGCGTGGTGGAGTGAATGAGAAAAATGCATAACATTTGGAGCAGGGAAATGAGAGAAAACGTAAGTTGGTAATCAACGATGCAGAAACCGATGGGTGCATCGCTACTAAGATTGAAGGTGGATAATATTATGAATGACGCCGCCAACAACAATTTAAATAGTGACAGCAAGAAAGCAAAAATGGAGCAGACAAATTAAGACACTAATTGTTTAAGTCTCGTCAAATATTTCAAAAATAATAATAAATGTATTAAATAACTTATAAACAGTGTACGTTTAAGATATGTGATGCACCTCAAAAATATTATGGAATATAATATACATCTTTTAACGAGCTTGTAGCAAGTCAAACTACATTTATGCATTTGAGTTATATTTAAGGTTGAAACCTTGATCTTGAACATGTATTTGAATTAAATGTTGTAATTATTTATCTGTTGATTGATTTGTAATGTTATTGTATTTATCTAGCATTTTTTTCTTTAAATGTCTCTAGTTCAGTTATTCATAACTTTTTTTAAAGGTCTCGTTAATCAAGTTTTCTTATTCTTTTGGATTTAATCTTAGCAGTTGATCTTATGCGCTATATACTAACCAGATTAGAGACCCTCCTTGTTTTGGTAGTTTGACTTGCCACAAGCTCGTTAGAATACCAAAAAAATATTAATCAAGCAACTTTATGAAGTATATGTGTATCAAGCTTAAGAAACATCTTATCCAATCAAGGGGGGGGGGGGATATCTATTCTTATGCACATGCCCAATCTAAGAATTAAAAGATAAATAATAAATCAATTAAAATTAACATAATTCTATAATTTTTTTTTTAAGTGGGTAAACGACCAAGTACTTTGCTTCTTAGCAAGATAAATATGTTAGCTCTGAAATTTTCATTATTAGGTCCCTAAATTTTTAAAAATTAAGTCACATCTTAAAAGTTCGAGAACTTGAGATGGACAATGGTACAAGTTTAAGAAAGCATCTAAGGACATTTTAATTATGTGAAATCAAAATAGCAAGTCGTATTATGTTTTCATCACAGAGAGTTATAAGCCCGAAAAAACTAATGTTTAAATGCATTACCCTGCGAATAACATCAAAGCAATTTTATTTCTGATAGAAACTTCATAAAATGAAAATCATAAAATAGGGTGTTGCTTCCAAATAAAGGTTGAGAGAGAGCAAATTCTTTGGATATAAATAAAACAACACGAATGGAGATCTTTGCAATAAATAAACTGCCTATAAATTTCAAATAAAAAATCTAGAAAAGAAAAACAAAATAAGAAAATTCTTTTAAATATATTTAAGTAATAAACAAATCATGTCTTTCAGTGGAATTATAGATTGGTTCTAAGTAGAATCCCCATCAAATGTGGTTGAAATACATGAAGAACCAAGCATACAAATAGCTTGAAGGAAGCACTTCGAAAGAGATATTTCTAGTAAAATATGGATCATAATCATTATTAGTCTTAACTTAGCTATTCAAAATCAGCTTTAAGAATTCACAACCACGGTTGATTTCTATTTCATGTTACATGGGAGGCCTTTTTTCAAAGTCATATAAATTTTTGTTTCATTCTTTTTATTTCAATAAGCACTACTCTAACCAATTATTTAATAAAATGGTTTTCCTCTTGTATTCTGCCAAGTTTTGACACGTTCATAATAAAACTCTCACTTTATCACATTGACCTTATTGTGAGTAATTTCATTATTTGCAACACATAACTACTAAATATAATCGGGTAAATAGTTGTATAACATCTACCATTGCATCGCAACATTATTATTCTATCACGAATAGAGCTGTCAATTTGGCTCATTATTTGCAACACATAACTACTAAATATAATCGTTAAGCAGCTCGTGTTCGGCTCGTTTGTTTAGTCT